GAGAGAGAGAGAGAGAGAGAGAGAGAGAGAGAGAGAGAGAGAGAGAGAGAGAGAGAGAGAGAGAGAGAGAGAGAGAGAGAGAGAGATGGAAGAGGAACTTACCTGTTGCGACCTACCAGCGCCATAGCTGGGCTCTCCTGCAGTCCCCAGGTAAGTGCAGAAAGCGCCTAGCTTTCTTCTTCTTCTTCTCCTCCTCCTCCTTCTTCTTCTTCTTTCTCTCCTTCTCTCCTCTTCTCCTCCTACCCCTCCGAAGTCCTCTTCTTCTTCTTCCTCTTCTTCTTCTTCTTCTTCTTCTTCTTCTTTTTCTTCTTCTTCTTCTTCTTCTTCTTCTTCTTCTTCTTCTTCTTCTTCTTCTTCTTCTTCTTTATCAGAGTAGAGATAGAGGTAACAGCAGACATTGTTTGGACACGGCATTCTGCCTTATTGGACACGACATTCAGAGCGGACTTACACTCTACATTGGGATTGAACTGTGTACGACATTCGGAGATCAGACTTGGGTTGGACTTGGTTACCTCCTATGTCTCTCCTCTCTCGCATGTCTATGGATCTCTCCCCATGTGTGTGAGCGGAAGGGCAATCTTTCTGATGTCTTGCCCTTCCGAAGTTTCTCCCTTTCATGTTTGTTTGTCCACGTGTCCTTGGATTACTAAATCTTCCGCTGCGCTGCTTCCCAGCCTATGATGATAATGATACGAATGTGTTGTTGTTGATTTCTCGTGCACATTGACATCTTGTGAATGTTGCACCTACGCTGCAGGTTGTTGCCACTTTCGTCATTGCTAGATCCTAGGCTCTCAGTGCATTTCACTTCCTGATATGCTACAAGTGGTATCGGAGCTAGTGCAGTGAATCTTGGCAACAACCAATCAATCGATTGATTGATTGGATTGGCGGATTGCCACCAATCAATCTTCGATTGATTGATCAATCAATCAGGAGATTGATCGAACAATCGATCAATCAACCAACAATCATCCGTGATTGTGATTGATTGATTGATTGATTGATTGATTGATTAATTGATTGATTAAGTTAATTGATTATTTGGCAATTTCTTATTTAATCTTGGAAATTTCCCGGAATTAATTATTTATTTATTTTTTTTCGAGAAATCATTTCTTTTTTCGAGAATTTTTTTTTTGCGAGAAATTATTTTTTTCTTTTTCGAGAAATTATTTTTCCGAGAAAATTATTTTCCGAGAATTTTTTTTTCGTTCTGAGAATTCGTTTTTCGAGAATTTTTTTTTTACTTATTTAATTGTTAAATGTCTGCATTTTGACAACTTCGCGATTTTTTTTTCCGAAAATGTCCCTCTACACTTTCACTGCGTAGGTCTGCAAATTCTGTTCTTTTTTTTCAAAAAAAAAAAAGAAAAAACGGCATTTTTTTCTTTTTGCAACCTACTACTCCGAGTTTGTAAAAATCCTTCTTTTCTGATTTTCTGCAGTCTGAGCACCGGAGGTTCACATTTGCTTTCTGCATCACCTTCAACACTCAGTGGGATTGGACAGTCTTTTTTTTCGAATTTTCGATTAATTTTTTTAATCATTTTTTTTTTTTTTTTTTTTATATTAGGAAACTGTTCAATTTGGATCTGTCCGATCCTTCCTACTTGTCTGCTGCCTACCTGTTCCTCCCCCTCCAGTCCGGGTACTGGGCCAGTCTATCTGATTGGCCCATAAGTGACTCTTCAGAGTGCGGGCACGATAGTGCATGCCACTGCTCACTTGATCACAGACCAAGGCCATGGACCGGAAGGCGGGAGAATCCCTCCTGGCCTATGAGGAACGCCTAGCGGCATTCATCCAGGAGGCCAACGATAGGGCCGCCGCCGCGGCCAAGGAACGTAGTCAGGTTGAGCAAGAAGAGGAGGCCAAGCGACGGAAGGAGGAACAGGACCGACTTCGTCAAGAGGAGGCAGACCTGCTGATCGGCGATGAGACCGCACATTGGGTGGAAATGCCATCTGCCGACGGGGCCTCGGAGACTGACAAAGGGTTGTCCGCCGTTGCGCACATCTCCCACGACCTCGTGGCCACCTGCGCTCTGTAGCAGGAGGAAATCCTTCACCTGCAGCAGACAGTGGACCAGATGCTTACACGGCTGCAGGCATTGGAGAAACAGCCAGCTGCTGTAGCAGCCGCAGGGCCTTCCAACCCTACCACCCATGTTCAAGTTTTGGAGGATGACGTCAGCAACATTAAGCGGGTGCATCAGGACTTCCGGACGTCGCAGCAAGCAACGAACTTGCAGTTGGAGACGCAGGTCCAGGCTGCTGCCACCGTGACGCCCGCGGCCGCATCCTCCCGGCGCCCACCCAAACTGGATGACTGCGATCAGTCCAAGACGGAACCGATCCCGTGGTGGCGCCAGTTTTCTCTCAGGCTCGACATGCACCATGTCCCGAACAACGATCGACATCCGTGCTTGTACCACCGTTCTGGTGGTGCATGTCAAGCATGGTTGGACAACATCTTGACCAGCCACGGCGTAGCAGTGTCGGAACTGCACACCAAGCTCATTTGGCAGGAGTTGACTGACGCCTGGCACAAGCGATTCCAAGTGGAGCCGCCCGACCTGCAAGCGATGGACAAGCTCAACAAGCTCCATCAGAACATGCTGCTCAGTCAGAACTGGATTATCGAGTTCCAAAGACTCGCCTCCATACCTTACCTGCCGCTCGCATTCCGCGGCATCAAACACTTGTTTATCATGTGCTCGTGTCCAGCTCTGCAAAACGCGCTGACACAGATTGCAGAGACACTCGACACATCTGACAAGCTTTTCAGCACAGCGTTGTCGGCGCGAATACCCTTACAAGGGTATCCGCCCTGGCTTTTGCAGGCGACAAAAAATAGTCTGGTTTAAAGTTTAAGTATACCGCGCTAGGCGCGGCCACGTCTGTAATTTACGTTGACTGGATGGCTGATTAGAATAGAGAGTGTGTGGGCGCGCAGATTTTTGAGGTGCGCGTGATCTTTTAATTGTTTGATGAATGAAAAGTCGGCGTGACCGCTGCCCAAAATTCCCCTTTCTGACTTAATAGGGATTAAAAAGGTTATGTCTTGCTGATTGATGTGCTCACCCGTGACCTGTGCGTACGTACGGAGGACGGCGTCCACAAACGAATGTGACTTCTGAAGGCGTTTCGGTAGATCCACGCGGCATGCAGTATCTGCTTATCTGGGCGCCGACCAGAGCCAGACCCAGACTATGGCCTAGCGCTATTGGTTACTGCAACGGTCATTTGTCTGAGGGATTCAGGGATTAAGATCGGGCGGCGACGACGCGGGAGTATCGGAGTGGCGCGAGGGGACCGCGGGGGTCGAGGGCCCGACCGGGCTATCCCCCTCGGTCTGGCCATCGGCAATGTCCGATCGATGGAGGTACGTTTTAAGTAACTCCCCTTGGCACCGCATTCCTAGTAGTGGTTGTTATGCCCCGGCGTACCGTGGGCCTGACGGAAGGGCCGGTTATATCCTGCCTGCCTTGAAGGGCCGGGGCGAGGGGGCCAACGTACATAGGAGCCGACGGACGATAGGCCCATTGGCCGGAAGGAAATCTGAGTGGAGGGACTTGCGGTAGGAGCACCGCCCGTGCCCGCATAGTCCGCGGTGAAAGGCAGGGTGGGGGTGAGTATGTCCGCCGGGCTTTCCCCGGCGTTGGGTCTTAAGGTTTTCACTAGACTATGGGTGGCTGTTGGTAAAACCTTCACTGGCCCACCCTGCTCAGGCCCCTGCGTTTGCGTTATGGCGGGGGTCCGTGCCCTCTCACTACTTGAAGGGCCGGGGTAGGCACGGGGTGGTTTTGCCTTCCTTGGCGAGGGCCGGTCCTCGCGACTACAGGCCTGTTGGCTCGGTTGGACGCCCGCGGGGGTGTCGGGGCTAATGTGAGGTGCACAGTAAGTGTGACGGGCGATAGGGGCCAGCGGGCACTGCGCAGGTGGAGTGTCGGTGGCGGAGTGACAGCGCGATAGGACTGAAAGCTAAGGTGGTGGGGAGAGTAAATGAACCAGGGCGGGGGTCTCGTCGGAGTACATTCGGAGTGGGGACAGGTGGAAGGCTGGCAGCGGGCCGCAGCGGGCGGAGCTACAGCACAGAGGTAGCAGTGGGGGTGGGTCTGACCGGGCAGCTTTGGATAACAGTAGGGAAAGGCGAATGAACCGGGGCAGGATCGGACGCCGGGTGCATGCACAACAGAGGGGTCTGCGGGGCAAAGGATGCAGCGCAGGCAAAATGGGGAATGAACCCGGACGGGCTCCTGCGCCGGGTACATGGACGGGGTAGGAAGAACTGAGGCCAGGTGGCCTTCGAAGGGGGGGAGCCGCGGGGCATCGCCCTGGCCACGTCCTTCGGGGCTTTTGCAAAGATCGGGACGATGCCGCAAAGATTCGCATGACCCCTGGGCAGGGACGACACACATATATCGAGGGAGGGACGATCGTCGAGTGCTTTTTGCACTCTGGCACTCGGCTGGTTGTCGGACTGTGCAGCGTAGAGCGCCGAGGACGATGACAACGGGAGCGAGGGGGAGAATTGGGATGAATCTGGGTGAGGGGGGCGCCAGATGCATACGTGGGCATTGTGGGAGTGGGCGCACGACGGACAGGGACGGAGCACAGGCCGGGTACGGGAAGGCAAGGCGGATAGGCAAAACAAAAGGGGGGAAATGAAAAGGAACCTGGACGCACGCGGCGCCAGGTGCAGTCGGAAGTAGAGATGGCGGGAGACGAGGCAGGAGGAAGATAGAAAAGTGGAACTCACTCGTTTCTTAGCGAGAACGAGCGAGGGAGGAGGCGATTCCGGGGTTCTAACCCCGGGCGAGTATGATTAGGTGGTTAGTTGTGGCGTTAGGAGTGCAGAATAGTGGGTTAGTGAAGAAAGGGGTGCGSGRATATGGTGACGGGGCTAGAAGAAGGAGAAGWAAAACRRYCATATTGCGTTCGTTTCTGAGCAGTTTTGTAGAAGGGGAAGTGGTAGGTAGGAGCTCTGAACCCTGGCGAATAGGAAATTGCGGTTAGCTTGATGAGAAAGTTAGTAGGACTAGAGGGGGAGGGCGTCAACAGGTGGGCGGAGAGGACGAATGAATGTAGACGGGGGGTGTGGCGGAGTGCATGCGGAGATGGGGAGGAAGAGATCGTGAAGCCCGCTCGATCCTTGATGGAATCGGGCGGGGAAAGGAGCGCTCCGGGGGTTTTGGCCCCGGGCGAGCGGCGTGGTGAGGTCAGACGAGGCTCTAGATTAGTGAAATGTGAGATTAGAAGGAAAGTTAGTGCGCCGGGGTTATGGCCGACAGCGAAGTGGTAAGTGAGAGCAAGAGATAGCCCGGCCGCTTCGCAACAAGAACGGGCGGAAAACGGTGAGACCCCGGGTTTTTCTGATGGGGCGAGTGCGAATCTGAAGTTAGTTGGGACCGACAGTTAGTGGTATAGGTGGTAGGAGAAAAGAGGGCTGCGTGAAGCTACGGAGGAACTGGGCATGGCAGAAGAAGGGGGGGGGAACGCTGATGAACCTGCCGCGTTCTAGCGGAAGATTTATTCGGCTCTAGCTCATTCTATCGATGATAAGCTTGCGGAGTTCGTCGCGGGGATTTGAGACTTACCTGTTGGCCGGTGCGTTGCTTGCCCTAGGAGAAGTATCGGGCTGCACTCCAGCAGAGGGGTTGTCCACACGTTGCGGTGGAGGGGCGAGGTTCAAAGTTTGTGATCGCGTGCCTTGGACAGCTCCCCGTTCGGTTGATCTCGTAGGGGACATCCGGCAGATCGGTATGCGATGTATATGCGAGTGGGTGGAGGAAGAGCAAAGCGGTTAGGGGGAGGGGTACGCACTGGAAGGCTATCCTTGACTGACTACTTCCATTCGCAGGCCAGCCGGGCAGCCTGTGACCCGCGCTCACTGCATAAAGCTCTGCCTGCTGGGCAGGTACGTCCGCCTGGCCAAGGGGGCTCAAGTATGATGCACACGGGCGGTTGGGGGCTTACCTGCTGGCCAGTACGATGCTCCTTTGGATAGCGTGGGGCCAGCCACGGGAATGGGGACCTACCTGATGAGTGATGCGGTGTTCATGATGGCGATGGGAGTGGCATGATGCGAGCGGTGGGTGGGACAGCATATCTCTCCACGTCCTAGCACGAGGTTCGTTCGACCTCGCTCATCAGTTCGGTGGAGGTGTCACGAGGCAGCATCAGAGTTGGAGACTTACCTGCTGGTAAAGATGCTGCCTGCCCTGTGGGCTGATGGAGCGGTGTAAAAGGGGCTGCAGAGTGAAGGCCRTTTGTCGGCCGGCGTGTTGCTCAACGTATTAACGATTGCACTTGGCTACATTTCTGMGAGAAAATTCAGTCGTTCGTGTTCTCATTGATGGAAAGACTGAGAAGCCGGCCCCGAAGTTAGTAGAGCTTGYTGGCCGGTGTTGCTACTTGAATCGTTGTTGGTGGAGCTACTGTCCACCGATATGCTGTTGATACGGCCGTGAGGACTGGTGATCTTGCTGGAGCCCTGCAGAGCCAGCCRACYGCTGCCCCAACCAGCCCGTAGCTGGTGGCGATCGGATTGAGGGGCGCCAACGTTAGACTGTCAGGGTGTTGACGTATGGAGTGAGCCGATGGACTAATGCTGCGGGTATCCATACTTCGGGACGAAGCATATGAAGTGCRCGTTATTTTGAGTACAGCTGGTTTGGACCACGCGGCCGCAGCTCTACCACGGGAAGTAAAGGTGCGGTATAGGGAGGAGTGCTTAGACTACATAAGGGGGYTGGTGCCGCAGCTTGGAAGGGTGGTGACAAAGGGGGTCAGTGCTGCGACTTGGGGAGGCGCAGAGGGGGGTTGTTTAGCGGTGTGACCTCCGTTTAATGTAGTTGCTACATTTTAGCTGCCATTGTGGGGCCCTCAGGCGGACCAAGGAATCAAGGCCCTCTCGCGCGAGCCTGAGAGCACCCTTCCTGTACCTCGAGCGTCTGAAACCYCTCCTTCTGCCCTTCTTACTCTAAGTCTAGTCCCCTGGTTCWGAGAGGAAGGCGGCAGGCSGGATTGCAACCCGTAATCCGCGCCAAGGCCCCTGTGGGAGGTTYGCCCCACCGATTGCGGGAGCTCTGCCGGGACTYAGAAGGAGTCCTGGAGGCAGGGAAYTGAGTGGTAATTCCCTGACTCCTTCTATAAATCCATCTATAACCCCTATCTGTACACCTTCTACGTTTGACTGAGTACGTGGTGTGAACCCTGTATTTGATTTTGGGGTTGACTTTCAGGACATAAGTCAGACTAAAGTAAAGAAACGTGTGAGTAATTTCAGTTTTAATTTTGTTGTTTGATTGAAGGCAGATTATGAACGAAGGGGAATGCATCTGGGGGAAGGTTGGGAGGAAGGCAGTATTGCACGCGGACTGATTGGGTCGTTAAGGCTGGGAGGTCCCCATAAGTTTAGGGAAGCCCAGCGCTTTGTTTATTTTGGTTTTGCATGGGGCAACCAGGCCGCTCTATAAGTTTAGGTGGCCTGAATGCTCTGGAGGCTGGGATGTCCCCATAAGTTTGGGGGACCCATAAGTTTGGGGAGACCTGGTGCTGTGAATTGCATGGAGGGTCGGGGCGCTCTATAAGTTTAGGTGTCCTGACTGCTCTGACTTGCGAGGAGTTTGACTGTGATTAACTTTCAGGAACTCAGGGCGCTCAATAAGTTTTGGTGCCTTGAGTTGCCTTGGTTTCTTTGGGCTTTCCTGAGTTTCTTTTGTTTCTGAACGAGGGGGCCGAGCTGTTCTGTAAGTTAGGTGGCTCAGTCTCTTCCTGCATTTGTTTTAAGGGAATGAACCTGACAAAGGGAAGACCCTTCTGTAAGTTCAGGGGGCTTGAYYCGATGCCACACACAGRAAGGCTCARAGAGAAAGGAATCAGGTGGAGAGGCAGAC